GGGGGGGGGGGGGGGGGGGGGGCTTTCTGGCCTAAATCACACATGTAATCACTATTCTGTAGCGGACTCTCGGGCTAAAATCCAATTTTGTAAAAGTCATTCCTCAAAACCGAAAGCTATAATAAGCATAATGTTTTTAAGGAGGCTCAAGCGCGTGTAGCTGTCCTGCATTCGTGCACTCTACGCGTCGTGCCTCTTGCATCTACGCATTGACCGCGGTTGCGTCGCGCCTAGTGCGCACGTCTGCTACGGTTATAGTGTTGATACACTTTATACATAGTCGAACACGCGGGTAATTATCTACGCGTGTCTACGCGTGTATCGTTCAATTAGCACGTTTTTTTATTACTAACAAGATGGAAAAAGCAAATGTATACACCCGACTGCATTTGACGAGAGGAAATATATTACGTAATACATTTAAGTTTTAATAATATATCGTGCGCTTCGAAATTCAAATAGCGCGCCATTTTGCGTGCAGCAGCCGCATCGCGCAAAACATTGTAACCTCACGATTTCGACTCTTTACATTATAGTATATTTTGTAACAAGTGCGCGAAGCAGTTGACTCATCCAGGAGTTGTTTTCACCCGAGCGTAGCGAGGGTGCAAAGACTCCTGGGTGAGTCAACTTCCTCGCGGACTAGTTGCAAACGATATTTTTTAACTCTGCTTGCGAGAAACTAGGGTTTTCTGACGATTTAAGGTTAGAAAGCCCGTGTTTCGCGCACGCAGTGTTAAAAAAGTATTTTATTAATTAATGTGTTAACCCCCTTTTTTGTTTCATCGTTCGAAAGCTTATAATTTTTTCTTTCTAGCTGTAATTTTTCATCAATATCTGTCACGTATTTTAATCGTGCACGATTAAAGAACGGTAAATCATGAAGATGCTCCCATAAGGCCCATGTTAAATCGACCAACTTTACATCGATTTATCTCTTAAATAAGCGTGTTGACCCATATTTTTTTTTGTTGCGATCGATGTGTATTAATGAAAGGAGTAAATTCGCGAAGTTTCAGACATATCTGTCAGAAAGTGATTTTCGCTCGAGCCTCCTTGTCGCTCGTGCGTTACGGCAACACTGTCATGCTGAAATTCTCGTTTGGCGTACAGACTTCGCTTGATAGCACGCAAATGGCTTGGGACCAGTGCACTGTTGTAGCGGCAACACTGCGATGCTATAGGCGAACGCAATGCTCAGATTCACGACTGATCGTTCTCCCCTACAACATATAGCATATTGTTGTGCGAGTAGTGATGTGCCCTCATGCCTCTAAAGCGTCTATGTTCCGTCGTATATCTCTATCTCTCTCGCACTCGCTCAGAAGGAGGGAACACACTTGACAACATCGCAAAATATTCAAGCATAATTTTCGGGCAGGTTTGACTTTTGACGAATGGCAAGTAACTAGTGAGATAAGAGAGGTTAGGTATTAAAGAATTGCGCAATATAGTAGAATAGTGATGAAACCGTTTGAATGGTGAAGTGACATAAGTGAGGTGAGGTATTGAAAAATCGCGCAACAGTGAAAAGGTGTAATGATCGTTTGGAAGATATCATTGAACTTGTAAGTATTCTTTAATGAGCACACGGCGCAAAGAATATTCATGGATTGAATAGGAAAAAAAACCCATCTCCAAAAAAAAATTTAACTCGCGAGTGAAGAAATTATTCCATCGGAGCTTGTGATATAGTGAAAAAGGCAGGCAGTTGTTCCTGTTACCAATATGTGAAGTATCATCAGTTTATTATTATTTTAAACCACAAAAATTTATTTATTATCGATTACTACTCGTTTTGATTTACCTTATGAACTTTTATCAAAAATTAAAATTTTTTGATTGAAAGTAAGCAAATGATATAAAATAAATGATAAAAAAAGAAAAGAAATATAAGATGTGAAATACTAACGCATAAAATAAACAAAATACGAATGAATGAAAAAAATTGAGTATGAATCAAAATTTACGAGAAAATCGTATGGATTGTCGTTTTTACTCTTCTCAAGGTGGCACTACGGTACATGAGCTGAATTTAGTTTTTTTTTACACTGTTTTATCGATAAGACGTAGTACTGTCAACATCGCGAACGTAAAGTACAGATGCCCTTAAGTTAGCTGTCTATAGACAACCATCAGAAGTGAAACTTCTACAAAATTAATTAATCAAAAATATCGAAATATAAAAGTAAAAAAATCTTGAAAAATTTACAAAAAAAAGCATAAAAACATGTCACAATGTAATTGAAAAAAAACAAACATTCAAAATCAAGAAAAATGAAATCAAATGTTTAAGACCTATTTAGTATAGAGCAGCGCTGAAAATACAAATGCAATTGGTTCGCATTTGTTTTGTATGCGGATGATTGTTGGCGCAAAGATCGATTGGTGGTGCCTCTTGGTTTAAAGTCCAAATCGGGGAAGCTTTCTCTCATCGAGTTTCGGACTTTGTTTTAGTTCATTTAATTAATGTAAAATAATATTTAAATTAGCATGATTGCCGAAAATGAGCCTGTAGACAAAAATGCAGTAGACACACAATTTATTTATTTTCCAATTTGATTGATTACATACATTTATTAATTCTAGGGTAACCGCACCAGTGAATGACCGAGTTAATGTTTTTTAAGTTTTGAATAACCCCGTAGGAATTTCGAGATTTTTTCCTATGGGGCAGGAAAAATTTAATGATTGCGACGAAAAAAAAAACAATATATCATCGCACAGTTAATTAAGTGTTCACCCAATAGAAAATATTGAAAAATCATTTTAGCATCATGAATATTACTAAAAATTTTGATTTAACGTGTCAACTTGAAAACGCCAGTTGGTGACCACTTGATAAGCGGTACATTATCGTATGATATTTTTACAAAATTAAACATTACCGTTCGTTTAGATAACCAATACGATTCGTAAATAATTGTTGCTAGTTCAGTAGTGGAATGATAGAATTGGTTTTATTTAAAAATCAAACAAATAGATTAATAACGAACTTAACTTGTATACTATTGTATTCCCAAAGAATTGGTCACTGGTCGTATGCAAATCGACGCTTCGTATCAGTGAATGGCCACAAAAAATGTTCAATATTTTTTTATACGTAGTTAATACAACTTATATGGGTTGAAAGTTGATTGAAATTAC